TTCTAGGTGAGGTTGCGTAACCTTGTGGCGCGTGACTCGCAAGAGATCACGCGGCGGAACCGTGAGCCAGACGACGTGACTTTATTCGGAGCGTCGTCTGCTAGGTGAAAGGGAACGCAGTAAAGTCATCGATGACAAATTATTAATATTCTTTTGGCTATTGGACAGGGAAAATGACAAATTTTTCATCAAAATTTCACGAGCTTCATTCCAAAAAATTTAAATTTTTCTACTGGATTATACTGAACCTCATATTGTCCATATGGACCAAATCTACCTAAGGCAGGTAACCCTCATGCTGCCAAGGGTTCCATTTCTTTTCCAGCTGAATTTGGAATTTTTTTGGCATCCTACTCTGGTGGGTTAGGATGGAATCAGACTTCATGAGGAATTTATACTGTTGGAATATTCCAAAGTTTGAATTTTTTCTGATCCATTTTTACCTTAATAAAAACTGGACTCTTTGTTTTAGCAGACAAAACTTGAAGCCTGCAGACATCTGTGAATGTCTAAAATAATCCCAAAACACCTTCTCCCCTTATACTCAGCATTCCAAAGCAACATGCATCAATATTCATAAGACATATGAAAGGCATAGATGCCATATCCAGCAAATTGCTCTCTCTCTCTCTCTAATTAACAGGGAAATCATTTCTTTTTTTACAAAAGCAGGTTTATGTAATGGTGAAATTCTCTGGAATCCCTCCTTTATGTAATTTTCTTTTTCCCACCATTTTCTGACCTGAATGCAGTTATTCTCAATTCAGATTCTGTTGCTGTTGGTTGCCTGAGAAAATTCTGCTTTGGGTGACTTCCTCTAATATTACTTGTCATGATGAACCTGATTCTTTTCTTTTGGGGTTCTTACAAGAGAACTCCCAGCCAAATTACCTGGTGCATTGTGCATTCTCATTCAAAGCATAATTGTTATACATTACTCCTTCTAGTTAGAAATACAGTGGCCCCCCGCCTAACAGACCTCCAGTGTAAGGGATTTTTGCCAAACGTACCAGCTCTGCAAGCAGTTTTTCCTCCTGCCCAACAGACAAAATCCGCCAAACAGACTTCTTTTGGTTTAAAATTAGTGTTGAAAATTGAAATCTTTAATTATTTTTTAAGTAATTGAATTCATGTAAAGGACTTTTTGTCTAACAAACTTGTCCCTTGCACAAATCAAGTCCGTTAGACAGGGGTTGACGGTAGTTGAATTCAGGATCAAATTGTGTCTAAATCAAAATTTGGGCATTATTACTTATGAAACTTCAATTAATTCAAGAGGCACTAAAAATGGGGTGTCCATCTTACTCTGGGATAGAATTTCAAAAAGTATTGAAAAAATTGACTAAAAACTCTGAATTGTGACTCAGTGAAGGGTACATGTTACTTATTTCTTCTTTCTGTATTCACTTGAATTTTTGCAAGGCTTTGGCAATTGAATCTCTTCGCAAATATTTTCATCTGCCAACAGTAATGTTCAAAGAAACACGCTGTGGTGGGACCTTGTACCTGTGATTTCATGGACTGGCTACAGCAGCAACCCAAACATAACAATGTTTTCTGGGGGTCTTCTCAACTACCTGAATCCATGTCATACAAACATAATCAATCAAACTGATTGGATCTTGTTGCTGAACTTGGGTCTGGAGCGACATAAAAGCAAGAAGGTGCTGAATTCACTGCTTGCTACTGCATCTGAAAACACTTCGGATGGCTTTATTTTGGCCTTCAATCCAAGTGCTAATCAAATAATCAAGGATTTCACTTTGAAATGGATGCAAAGGTTTCACTTCGATGCAAAAACGACTGCAATTTTGAGAAACGCAAGCACACTTGAAAATTTCAAAGAAACCCTCATGGTGTTTCGAAAATGAAAAAAAATATTGTACAATATAATCAAATGAGCGGGTGAATAAAACCACAGAATCATTTCAATGGAGAAAAAAGACCCCATTTTCTCTTGAGCATTATGAAAGTTCAGCGTAGATATAAAAAAATATGAAGAATGCACAAAAATACGAAGTGGAAAGATGTAAAATTTTCGTAAATTTCTTCTCGAAATCCTCGTCCAGATTTTTTTACGCAGGTTTTTCACTTGCTCAATCGTTTCATCTAGCTTTTACGTTATGGAATTGGTTACTCATTTTAGTCCCTGAAAATTTTTGTTCCCAGTTTTGGGAAAGATGAAACTTTGGAAGGATCCCCCCTATGGCGTTTACCCCCTCTGGCGGTCTTACTTTGCATCATATCCATTTCCGCAGAGGATCAACGCAAGGATGTTGCTTACAGTGGACCTTTTAGCTCCATAACATTAGACCAGCTAAAAGATGGATTTGATGTTGATCCAGGTAACTTTGATGCCTGAAAATCAACGCAGCAATTTAAAAGTTTATGTAAAACATTAAAATTGGAGAACATTTGAGCCTGCTCAATGGATTTTTGCACAACAGACCCCCTTCTGCAGGTGGCTTTCCCTTCTGAAGCTGCATAAAACACTTCTGTTGGTTCAAAATTCTTGATAAAAAGTAGAAATTTTAACTTTTTCATATTGGATTTGCATAACAAGACTTTTCACACAACAGACTATACCATGGCACAATCTGCAAAATTTGTATGGCCTGAGCACACATAAATACATAATTATTAATTCAAATTGAGAGTATAGATAGGAAAATTATTGGTTTATAAAAAATTGTCACAACATTGACTAAATGAAGAAACTTACCAGAACTAAGAAAACATTCTGACAAAAATTTTTAAATGAGATTTTTGTAGCTGAATCTCAGTGCATATGCAAAAGATGACTATGCATTTCTTATGTTAAAATATTCATGACACTCAAAGTTCTTCACATTACTGGCTTCTAAACCTTGAATAAGCTGTATTATGTTATTCTGGACTGTTGACAAATTTCGCAGGCATGGAGAAAGAAGTTGGAGAGTTCATAGCAGAAACATTATTTGGTCAAGGAGCAAGTGCTGGGGATTCCAAGAGTGAAGAAGGGGAAGACAGTGACAAGAAAGAGAAGAAAAGCAAGAAGAAGTCGAAGAAAAGTAAGAAGAATAAGAAGAAGAAAAAGAAGTCAAAGAAGTCATTGGCAAGCACAGAGAGTGATGAGAAACCTATCCAGAAAAAATATGACATCACTGGCCCATACACTCCAGTGCCAACTGTAGAAGAAGATAAACCTGGGTTCAAAAGGTCCAAAGCTTCCAAAGCTGTGAAATCTCTGGTGAATCTTTTACACAAAAGAGATAAAAAAAACTCCCTGAATTTCCTCATAACATTTTTTTTATCATTTTTAAATAGAAATCTGTACCCCAAGAGTCCCCATCATCAGCAAAGGAAAATGAACCTGAAGAAGACTCAGCATCTCAGACTGACCCTGAAGCAGCAGTCGAAGTGCTTTCAGCCCTAGGAAAAAGCTTTGAAAAGGGTCAATTGACTGAGCAAGAATTATCAGACTTCATCAAGGGCATTGACCTAGAATTTGACAACCCAGCAATTTTGGGCGAGTTTGCAAAACGCAACAGCCCATCTGAAGACACCCCCTCACTGAAGCTGGTCAATGATGAAAGTACAAGTATCTTTAGAGGGGTCCAAGCAGACGAACCTTTGGGAAAACCTTTCCATAACACAGGTATCAGTTTTAGAATGTAATTGAATGCAATTTTTATACTTAAGGTTATTTTTGCCAGTTTTTAACCAACTAAGAACTGCTTCCTTGTCACTAAGTTGTTATTGATTCTTTGGTGTTTTGTCAAGCCGTTGAGAGCAGATTTTCCAGTATTTTCTGGCTTGAATTGATAAGGTGTTTTTATGATTATTTTAATTTGCAATTTCATGTATTGATTTAATTATTACATTTTTTATTTTATTTTCCACTCAAATAATGCTAATATTTTTTCACAATATGCATATACATGTCAGATGTCCAGTTGTATTTCATGTTGTATTGTATTTTCTTTTATTTTTGTTCTCAATTTGTGCTTTCATGCTCTGAAGTGATTAAATGTCATTGAGTAGATTTGGGTTGGGTGGGAAGGGGGTTTGGTTGTGGAAATATTGATTGAACCTTGTGAAACCTGAAAAGCGGCAAATAAAGGGTTCTGTTCATTCATTCATCCATTCATTGTTTTCGCAGATGTCCAAAGTGATTCCTGTCTGGATGGCATTGGTTCCATCATGTACAGCTTGTTCCAGTTGGCCTTGTGCATTCTTTTTGCAGTCATCATCTTCCAGCTCCTCGCCAGCGTTTCCTGTGTTGATTGTAAGTCCCCGAAAATTGTTTGAGCAATTTTCCTTGACGCCAAAAATCCTGCACCTGATTTTCGTCACTATACACACAGGGAAAGAATTGTTCAACATGTGCTCTGTCAACGAGTACATGAATGAAACTATGAATCCAAAGCCGCAACCGAGACCAGCGCCATGTTTCTTTGACAAACTGCCCACTGCTTGTGACTTGATCAATCTTCCCTGCAAAATGTTTGGCTGCAAAGGGGGAGGAGGAATCAGCATTTGCGACTTTCTGCCATCTGGTGGCAGGGTGCCGAAAAAGTCCAATAAGGAAGATGACGAATGCGCAGGGTTCATGCAGAACTTGTGCCAAAATATTTGCACTAGTCCTTCCCAGCCTGCGGACGGAGGTACTTCTTTGACTTCCTAAATCTTTGACATATTTGGAACTTTTATGAGTTTTATAAAACGGAATTAACAATCAATTTTAGCCATTAAAAATAAACAAGCAAAATATAAAAATAAAACAATATAAATGTAAAATCTTAATTTTCAGTTGATTGAATGCTGCTAATCTCGAATGTATTTAATGCTGCTAATCTCAAATGTATTTAATGCTGCTGCTAATCTCAAATTTATTTAATGCTGCTAAAATCTCATAAATTTTTCTATTCTGAGCTGCTTGAATTAACTGCTGAACTGAAATTGCTGCCTTCTCCAGCATCTAAAAATTTGAAAAAACGTTGATCTTTAATTCATCTTAATTTGAAAATTCTTTTGGAATTCCAGGTGGGAGAAGTGGGAAAGTTGATGGGGCACCAGCAGGAACTACGGATGACGAAGAAGCATTTGAGGACGATGACGGTTTCATGTTCAATACACGTCAGTCTCGCTCTGTGACAGACCCCAACGCTCTGTACATGTCAGTGAGGCACCAACGAGGCGGCCATGCTGGTTCTCCTGTGCGCCAGCAACGAAAAGTAAAATATATGCTTTAAATATTTGAAACACGTGGCAACAATACCATGCAGAATTCAACCCAGTTACATGTAAATTTAGTTTCGTCATTGGAAAATTGAACACTATACAGCAATGATAAAATCGGAAAAATTTGAGTTAGTGAATATCCCTTTCAGCCTATGCAAATACAGTATTTGAAGCAAGAAATATTACAAGTGGAATCAAGTTGGTTTTGATGAGGGATTTTTCATCCAAACATTGTTTGCATATGCAAAAACTATAGTAGTACCCAGATATAAAAAACCAGCATAATGTGATATTTAAACAGATGTTCACTGTTTTAATAATACAGTCATACCTCTTTCAAGTCAAACTCCCAGTTAAGGTAAAAAAAAATGTCTTCTTGATAAAGAAAAGGAAGAAAAATCACGTGAAACTGTCATGGCGTTTTTCTGGGCCTTCCATGGCTTTCTGAATGTGTGAACAGGATGCTAAACTTTAGGCGAGGACTCAATTTCCTAATTAATTTTTCACTTCCTTTCTGAACGCATCAAGTTACATTTTTATCTATTCATTTCCAATGTCAATAAATGGCCAAAAGGCCCCCAATAAATCTAGTCATTTAAGTTTGAATGTAAAAGCTTTATATGAGATGTGAGGATTTTAATGAAATTTTCCTAGGGAATGCAGTAAATGACTTAATGAAAAATTGATGCATCAGGTAATAATATTTGACTCACAGATGTTTGTTTGCTGAGTAATGAAAGTTCAACTTCAATAGAAATACAGCTGTATCTGGATAGTTAGAACTTCCCTAAGTTGAATACCTCCCTATAAGTCAACATTTTTTCTTGCCCGTGTCTGAATCCCCTCAAAAAGAATAAACTAAAAACCTTCAAGTCAAAGGCTTTTCCCCTCAAACATCCATTAGTCAAATGTTCTATGGCTTTTAGCCTATTTTCTTGACAAAAGAAAGGAAAAGCAATTATACAAGAAATTGATGCATTTTGAGACTGAGTGAATACTTAATTTGGCAAATGAACCCGCGTGCCTCCAAGTTCAGCATCCTTCCAACCCATCATTCAAGAAGCAATTTAATCCCTAGCATATCACCATTCACATATTTTATGTTTACCAGAACAAAAGGGTTTTATTTTCTAGCTCAAACCTCTATAATTCAAAACCTCCCTAAGTCAATTTTTTTTGCTGGTCCCTTGAAATTTTACTGTCCAAGTGGGGAAATTGGTGCACGCTGGGGATATGTTTGTAATTTTTCAATTACCCTGCTGTGCACTTGAAGTGCACCAAAGTTCTTCTGTTGCACATGCATATCCCTAATGTGCAGATTGTGCACCAATTGTGTGTTCACACCATTATTACTCAGGGTCACATTTGTATAAAAATAAGTTAAACCAAGGTTACAGTTGGTGCATTTGTGTGATACTCCTGTTATGTCACATTTGTGCACCAGAAGTAGCCCAGAATTGGTGGCAAAATTTTGTCTACAGAGGTGCATGCTTGTAACCCCAGAATAGCCCATGTACATCAATTATGGCCTCAGTGCGCACCATTTATGGGGTCACACAAAGAATAGCTCCCTACTTCGGTGGTTCAACTGTACTGAAAAAAAAAACAATTACATATCAATCCTCCTCTGCTCCTAAATAAGAGGTGCCTGACTTCACACCCTCTTTATTTCAAACCTCCATTCATACACAGGATCCAAGAGACCAGCAACCGTACGCTGGCGGAAGACGCGCCATCTACCGAAACAATACGCCTCTCATTGACGACTACACAGACGACCAAGATGACCAGGATGTGGATCCGGAACCGGATGCAGATTACGGAACCGGAGGATTCACGACTCCTTTTGTCGGCCGAGATGATGATGGCTATGAAGACAGTGCTGCTAGTGTTGATGCCTATGCGTCCACAACAGCGGGAATCGCTATGCATGGACATGTTCGGTCTCAACGGAGTTCCAGCAGCAGCGCTGGAGGCCGCCATCATAGATAGGATATCAGGTGCTCTCAAGATGGATGACGCACAAGGAGGTCGAAGACGCGATGCCAAGGAAGAAAAGAACAGAGCGTGTGCCGCTTAGTCTTTTTATTATTCCATCCTGTATAATAGATCAGTTCATTCGTCTTTTGATTTAGTATTGAGGAATAAATTTGTTTGAATGTTTATATTCCCAGAATGAATATTATTCACTCTTGCGCTACGTCTGTTCATATATATTTTATGAGTTGGGGAGAATGAATCATCTTTTTTCATTTCTTTTACCAATGTCAGGGAGTGAATGGTGCATACATACATGTCAGATGTCCAGTTGCATTTCATGTTGTAATGTATTTTTGTTTATTTTTGATATCAATTTGTGATTTCCTGCTCTGAAGTGATCAAATTTCATTGAGTGGATTTGGGTTACATGGGAAGCAGGTGTGGTTGTGGAAATCTTGATAGAACCTTGTGAATGCTGAGAAGTGGCAAATAAAGTGTTCTGTTTATTCATTCATTCATGAATCATCTGGAAAATTTAATCTTGGAAAAAATCCTGTTTAATTTGACCTTATGTTCATTGAAAGAAGGAAAAACGTAAAAACATATATTTTCAAATAAATAGTGTGAAAACCATAATTCTTATGTGTATATATAGCATAAGATATATAAACACATGCCTACAGCTGCAACAAAACATATATCTATTTTCTGTAAGTACAGCCTGTGCTGAGGAGAGTAAGAGCACTTATCAGCCCTTAGATGGTGGTGGGCAAAATTCCATCCTGTGGCAGTGCTTGGATATTTTTGCATGCTTGTTCATTCTACTTTGACCCGAGGTCGCCAAAATGCAACTTTGGCTGAGTAGTCAAACTTGGGAAAAGGCTGGGAAAGGGTAACCTATTTTTCTTAAAATATCTTAAAATTCTACAGCTGGAATGCCAAAAATGCCCACCCCAAAAGTTTTTCTTTTTTTTCATTTTTGAAGATTTTTCTGCAGTATAATGCTAACATTGGGATTTTCCCCAAACTTAGCTCTTCCAATCATTCTTATTTCCTTTTGTTAATTCTGTGTGGCACAAAATTTATCAAGATAAATCCTGGCACTGCTGCCCTGGGGTTAAGGAATAAATTGCAGGGCATTATTCTTTTACATTTATACATCTTGAATACATTGCAAGACCCCTTTACAAAAAAAAAACGTTTCCGGGTCTTGTCCTCTATAGTTTTGTACATTCAAATATGGCGAATGTATGAACAGATTTCAAATCCCACTAAAAATTTCACAATTTGTAAATTGAAATTCATGACACTCAAAAGTGCAACACAGAATAAGTGTTCAACAATGCTCTGGAAGTTTCACTTATCATTTTTTTCTATATATATATATATATATATATATATATAATTTTGGCATCCTTTATATTTTTATGCTACCCATTTTTTCTAGATAATTTTGAATTTCTTCTCCTATGTATGCATGCAAGAGCAGCAAGACTATGATAGTAGCTCATAGTTCACCCATGACAAATTTTACTAGGAAACTGTAGCATATACATTTACTCAAAATGCCAAATTTATAGTAAAGACAGTGTGAAACAATTTCTTCCTTGTGTGGCCACAGTCCAAATNTTCCTTGTGTGGCCACAGTCCAAATAGGACTGGCTGAGTTCAGTACAGTATCAAAAAATTTCAATCATACCTGTGCCTCCCATACAGGGTCATTATATGCAAGAGGATTAAAATAAAGTCAGACCCTAGGATATAACTTTGTTTGTGGTATTATAAAAGTGGTTAAAGACAGCAAAAACAGTCTGAATGTTTTTTGATTATCATTAAACTTCTCTCAATTCACTCAATTTACAATTTATTTGTGTCAGTCAAGGATTTTTTGATCCTGCTGCTGAGAGTTAAATAAAAGGCTTCATAAATCCAATCATAGTACAAATATTGCTCAGATTCTAGCAAATCAAATATGTTTATATTGAATAACCTTCACATACACCTGAAGAATAAAATTTAACCTAAAAATTAAGTTGGAGAGGCAGTTTCCTAGGATCCGCTACAATCCACAAGATACTCACAATTTGAGAATGAAAGCATGCTCACTTTGGTATTCTAAACAGAATAAAAAGGAAAAACTTGTCAAAGAATTAGTCACTAGACATGGCAGCACAGGAACACAATAATCAATTTTCTTCCTTTAATTTAATTCGTCGTGACGTCCATGTAATTTCCTTCCTTTTTTGTATAACAATACAGTAACCGACAAAATTCTAGTTGCACCCCGCACATATTACACTAAATTTTCATTAGCCTCTCCATCTTTTCAAATTGAACGTGTCCCATCATGTCCAGGGACAGGAAGTAGTGACACCTTGATCAGGAAGTGGAATGAGAACAGAGAGTACTTGAACCCTCCCATCAATGTGTTCATGCCATCATCAACTGCCCAGCAAGTCTTGGTTAGGCAAGCACTCATGAAAGGACAGGCCTTAGGTATGCATCTTATTTCAGATATTGCTAGTTTCATTTAAAGGACTTGATTCATGCAAATGATGTAGCCTTGGCTAAAAAAATGCCCCAGCTAACATACCATGTACAATGCTCCAATGAACACCCTGGCATTTATTCAAACTCTTAAATTCCCACAATCTTGGTCACCAATCAAGAAAGGCATCTAATATAGACCTAATTATTTCCAACAGTGGGAAAAGATAAAAATAAAAACAGGTAACACAAGGGGAAAATTTGAAAAAATTCATTTCCTGTCCCTGATTTTTGGAAATGAGACTGGAATGCATAAGAAAAGGCTTAAGGGAAGGAGTAACATGGTTGAGTGTTGAACACAAGATAGTGGAAAGGATTATAATAATCAACAAAGTAACAACATTCCCAAATGTTTTATCCCCTTCCCCCTTCTCTGACCTGGCTGCTATTAGAGGCTGGCTACTATATTCCCTTGAACCCCCTTTGTCACCTGGAATTTATTTGAAACTGACATCTATTGGAAACTTGGCATTCATTTTAGCGATAACGGTGCTTTCCAAAAAATTTCATCTTTGTGATGTATTTGCTCATATACACAGTAAGGGTCCAGAATATGAAAAATTTTGGGGCAACTTAACATTTCCACAGAAAAAGGATTAGTGTGTTCTGAATCCAGCTTCTGAATAATCCAGCAAACAAAAAATTGAACTCAGCTGAATTTTTCCAATTGTAGTCATAATAGACAAACCTATATTGGAGAGATAAAATTCAGTTTTGAAGTTTTGCCCTTATATAGCTGCTTTCATAATCCAAAAGAACACTACTGAACATTTGAAAAATTATCTATTTAAAATGCTTTACCAAACTCCATACATACAAAGACATCTGACCACTCCTGAAATGTTTCCTGAAGATAGGAAATATTTCCATATTATTACTTAGATTTTTACAAAGTGTTTTGTCAAGTAAAAAACTATCTGGAGCTCAACTGAGTAAACTACGTAAACTTTTGTTCGTTAGTAACCCAAGAAACGTTCCCTCCTAAGGACTAGAACCTAGGTTAAGTTTCGTCAAGAATCGGTACCCTCTTTGTCGTTTATTCCGCTAACTACGAGAGTAAAAACTACCTCAATGTGTGGTTGGCAACTGTGGTGGCTCACAAATACAGACCTTTGGAGGGTCTCATCCAGAAACTGAGACAGACTACACTAAGCATCAGGTGTGAAATAATATACAGTACCTGTCTTCATGCAATATGTTCAATGGCTTTCCTTGTCATCAAGAATGATGCAGGAGTGGAAGAAATGTCACCTGAGGATCTGGCAATCTTGGAACAAATAAATGCCATTGACTTCCACTTCAATGAACCTTCTTTTGAGAATGTGGTGGAGGCTCTTCCACAACAAGACTCTCCAGACATTGAACCATCTTTCTATTGGACTTCACCACCTAAAGGATTGGAAGTGCTGCCCATTCTTCCTCCAGATCCTCCACCAGGCCCCTTCTCATCAAAGTCAGATATTGCTGCTCCTAATGGTGAACTATCCAACATTCAACCATTTGTCATTAATTCCTGATACTGATTTCTGTTAGAATTGATCTTGACTGGAGATGGACCATTTGAAACAAAGTTACCTCGGTTGACCTCACGTTATAAACCTACCGATGAATTTTAGTAGTACCCTAATCGTTAAGAGATGTAAGAATATTCTTAACCTACAACGAATAGAGTCGTACTGTCATTCAAAAAATTATCATGTGCAAAGATTTTTGGCAATTACTCAAACTACACAGCCCTTACACAACTATAGTCTTACTTGTATCCTAAATTAAATCACATATGCATTAAAAGTAGCCAACTATTGGAAAGAAATTAGTAATAGTCTAAAAATATGATAGGATTACATCATTGCTAGGAAAACGGCTATGCTTTGAGAGGGTTGGAAACCAGTGGGATTGCACTTGACCTTGAGTTCCCACAAGATTTGGGATTCTTGGGGAAATCCTTCTGAAGGATAAAGCTCAGGGACAAAAATGTAATTGAGAGAAATGTTTAAATAGTGAAATATTTTAGCATACAATCATCAGTTGCCTCTGTATTGTCTTATGTGAAAGACTGTCTGTTGAACTGCTGTTTGAATCCAATCCTACCAAAACCTTGAAAATATATCAACCTTACACTAGGGTGTAAAGCACCCCGGCCACAGCCCGGCTGATTGCATTTGAATCCGTTATTTCAAATATCAAAGAAAAGAAGTCAAAACCATCAATCTTTTACAAATTCAAATTACTGTTTCCAACACCGAGTATGTGTTTGACTGAATTTAGTTTCAGCCATCACTTTACCCCAGCAAATAACTGCGTGTAATACTATGCACAGCAAATGCATATCACACATTCTGCTGCTATTTGTACAAGGAATTAAGCCCTCTCAAGACATTCTCTATACATCACATATGTGTTGCAAGCTTGCAACATCCTTAGGTGATGCATTTCAATTCTGTGTTGCTGTTCCCATTGGTGTCATGGTTATTTACATCCTGTCACTGTGTAGAGCTTCAAAATTCACTATAAAAACATGAATTCATAATTATTTTAAAGGTTTTACAGCAGATTTTCTCTTAACAGAACCTTGGCAGATTTGCCATGCTGTTTGCCTTCTTTGATGGAACTATGAATGGATAAAATGTTGCAGTTGTCAATATTTTTTCATTACTCTTGCAGTTGCTGAGATGCTCAATGGATGTGCAATGCTGGAAGGGTGTGGAGGAGGAAGCACATCCAGAAGGTCATCACAAAGCTGCCAACCAGGTTTTGACCTATGTGACTATTTTCCCAAGGAGGCCACTCAGGATGGGTCTGACTGTGACCCCATGGCCATAAACATCTGTGATTTCACATGCAAGGATGGTCCAGCAGCACAACAGACCTCTCAACAGCAACCCAGGACTCAACCCCAAGCTTCTGCCCCTTACCTGAGCTCCCAACAACAATCCAATAGGCAATCTGAGGGAGGGACAGGAGTAGAAGGTATATTCATCAAATAGCTCTACAAACTTTATGTAGTCTTTTCTCATGCTGTACAGTAAAATCTTGTTTTAAGAAATCCTCTTGCAGCAAAATGGTCAGAATATAAATGTTTCCTCATGTCACATGTTTTCCCAAGTAAAAAATACTTACGCATTAAAACTCATGTTACTTGTTGGGGTGCAGGATTTTTTTAGAGTTTGGATGAATGAGAAACCCTACTGATGCTTGGGACATCCACTGTTACAAATTGGTGCAGGAACTTTTCAGAAAAACTTACAGTTCACAAAAATTGTCAGTGTTTACCTGTTATTATGATGGAATGTTCATCAGAAGTAAGATTTGAATTTATTTCTGAATATCAGTTTTTTGAACATGGAAAAACATCTGAAAAGGGCAGAAATGGAACGTTGCAAAAATATGCAGGTTGAATTGTAAATAAACTTTGCATTCCTAAATTTTCAAACTCAACATATGTTGTTTTTTGCAACAAATAACTTGTTGTGACAAACCTTTCTGAAACCCCCACAAGTTTGCTGTGATGTACAGTACTTTATTCTAAATTAATTTTTTGTCAACAATTTATTCATGGGAAAGTGGGCATACTTATACTGGTTAAATATCATCATGAGCAAATGTTTTTTTTATGGTTGATGCATAATAGTTAATTGTTTGCTGAAGAAAAGTGCTCATTTAATGCTTTGGTTGTTCAATGTGAAATGACAAATTGCTGTGATAATTGGTCCACAATTATGCTCTTTCCAGATGAGCCAGAAGAAATTGTGGATGAGTTCCTCAGGTCAAAGTTCATGTCAAGGCAGAGCATGGAAATGACCAACCAGTTCTATCAGCAGCACCCATGGAATCGCCCAGAGAACCCAGTCAGGGTCAGAGATGACCGCGAACAGGTGGCTCCATCTGGGAAACCTTCATCAAACTGGGCTGCACCTTACCCACCAGGAAGCACTGGTAATGTGGTGCACTTCACTGCTGCAGCACCAGAGCCACCAATGATGCCCAGAGGCAACCAGTCTTTGCCTTTCCCCCAGCCCAACTACCCCAACAATTTCAGGGCACTCAGAAATGGCCCTGGCACTCTTGACCAAAGACCAGCATCAATCCTGAGAGCTCCATCTCAAAATCAACCACAACAGTTCCACCAGCACCCTCAGGCTCAACAACAACAACAACATCAACAGCAGCAGCAGTTCCACCATCCAACTGGTCCCCAGTTTCAGCAACCCATGAATCCTCAACAGGGGTATTTTCACCCCCAGCAGCAACCCATGAACCCCCATGGTGGCTATTTCAACCCCCAGCAGCAACAACAGCAGCAGCAGCCAAGTGCACAGCTTCCACCAAGAGGATACTACAATCCTTCACAGGCACCAAGGCATAACTGAAAACATGTTAGCACTGATTTTATTGTCCAAATGTGTGATTGAATAAGAAAGAAATGTGGCTTAGACAATTCCGCATCAGTTTTATTCCCCAAAATGTATTAAATACAAAACATGCATAAACAGGTTCCAAAAAATGAAAAAAAAAATGCTGACAATTCCAGACAAAATACTGACTGTCACTCTAAGCATTGATGACCCACAGCTCAGAAATCAAAACCCTCATCATACCCTTCATCATATTCAGGTTTTGAGTGTCCATACCCTTCATGTTGGTATTCTTGTGGATGATAAGCAGGCTGGCTGTGTGCTGGTTTGTAGGGCTCATAAGATGGCTTGTGATAGGGCTCATATTCTGACTTGATGGTGTAGCCATAGTCAAAGCTCTGAGGGTGGGTAGGAGAGTAAGACTCATAGCTGTAAGTGGGCTGCTTGTGATGGCCATAGGTCTTCTTGTTGGGGGCATAGGATGGCTTATTGTAGCTGCTGGGATAAGGTTGTTTGTTGTACTCTGAATAGCTGTAGGATGACTTGATGGGCTTGAACCCTCCATAGACTATTTCGGGGGCCTTGAATTTTCCATAATGCTGGGGTTCTTGGTATCCGTATTGAGGTTCATAACCAGCGTATTTGGGTTCTTCATAAGCGGGTTTCACCTCTTGGGTGTAACCGTATTCTGGTTGTTGGTATTCATAGCTTGGTTTACTGCTGTGCTCATACTGTGATTTTTCGTAGCCGTAATCCGGTTTCGGGTCGTATTTGTTTGGGATTTCGTAGCCGTATTCCGGCTCTTTGTACTCATACGTTGGCTCTTTGTAGTCATACCCCGGCTGCTGCTGATGGTGCTTGGTGTGCTCGTAAGATGGCGGCTTGTAATCGTACTTTGGCTTCTCGTATCCGTAAGAAGGCTTCTTGTTTTCGTATTTGGGCTTGGGTTCGTAAACTGGGGCCTTGACGGGTTTGTACACCAAAGGCTTGGCTTCGTATTTCGGCTTGTGGTCGTAAGATGGGGCTTTGTGTTGCATGAAGCCAAACACCAGCATTCTACCGCGAAACACAAGCATGAAGCCAAACACCAGCATTCTACAGCCGAACCCAAGCATAAACCCAAACATACGCCGATGAAGCATCGAGCCGAGACCCATAAATGGCTCTGGGTATTTGGGCTCGGGATATTTTGGTTCAGGGTATTTCTGCTCCGGGTATTTTGGCTCAGGGTATTTCGGCTCTGGGTATTTTGCCTCTTGGTATTTTGGCTCCGGGTATTTTGGCTCCGACGTACTTCGGTTTGTGGTCGTAAGATGGCGCTTTGTGTTCGTACTTCGGTTTGTGGTCGTAAGATGTCGGCTTGGGTTCGTATTTGGGTTTGTATGCGGCTACTTCGTAGCTCGGCTCTGGGTATTTGGGCTCGGGATATTTTGGTTCAGGGTATTTCTGCTCCGGGTATTTTGGCTCAGGGTATTTCGGCTCTGGGTATTTTGCCTCTTGGTATTTTGGCTCCGGGTATTTTGGCTCCGGGTATTTTGGCTCCGGGTATTTTGGCTCTGGGTATTTTGCCTCTTGGTATTTTGGCTCCGGGTATTTTGGCTCTGGGTATTTCTGCTCCGGGTATTTTTGCTCTGGGTATTTTTGCGGTTCAGGATATTTTGGCTCATGATGATAGCCTCCATGATGATGAGGTTTCTTGTATGATGAAGCGTCATATGCTGGGGGAAAAATTGAAAAAAAATACATGATGAGAACCATCAGATACAGTACAGTGAATAAAAAATTTTGTTATGATCAATGTCATTAGAAAAAAAGTTTCCAGCATAACACACTCTTTCTCAAGTCCCAGCAGAAAGCCCATAGGCTTAGAGCACATGTTTGAAAATTCTTGTAAACTTCCCCATTCCAGCAGTGTAACACACTTTTTTGAGGAATATATGGTTGAAAGATTCTCCAACAAACAATGCTTAAGAAAGATTTACAAGTATTAAAATTCAATGAAGAGACCTTTTCTGAAATCTTAGAACTTAGAGGATCAAGACAAACTGTTGGCATTATATGATTTCTCATCAAAGGTTCTCTCTAATTTGTTCATTCAACTAAACCTCATACAGAAACAAGCTGAAGACCTTGCGCTTTAAATTAATTTTTACATATATTTTGTT